TCGACGACTACTCAACGTATTGGTCCTTGACCGCCACTACATCAAGACCCAATACTAATTCAACAAAATATAATCACCGTGCCGACCCCCGACCATTTGTACCCAGAGCCTCGACACTCATCTCTACCAAGTTAGGGTATCGATCCCCGACCTTTGCACCTGGAGCTTCGATACCCAACTAGTGATGTGTCAGCCTTTTTGGCCTTGTTAGTTCTCCATTTACTTTATTACATCGCGGAACTGTCACCAGAGACCTACATGCTTTTCAGCCATAACCCATGCAGCACTCAACTTACAATAAAACCAGCATGCTTCCAGAACAAAAAACAGTAAGCTAAAAATGAGATAACATGTCCAACATGCATGCGCAACACAACAGATTTCTCCTACATTATTTCAGTATGCTTTTATGAACACAACTATACAACGATAAAGCCATTCATAATCCATAATGCTTCCATGAATACCACTAAGCACCAAATCCAATAATGCAAAGCAAATCAGTTATAAACAACCAGAAACAACATGATTTCATTCAAACTACTTATCATTATTAACCAATATTCACAAAGACACAATCAACTTACATATTAATAAATAATAAACACAAAGCTCCAAACAATTCATACATATTTAAACAACAAACATCCCCCAAGTAAGAACTACTTACAAATGACCATAACACTACTAAGCTCGCCGAAGTATTCCCTAAAACAAACGAGATTACATTTGCATTAGAAATCCATTGGAAACACTTAAATTAATTGAAACCAAGCTTGACGTGATTCGTTACCTACTAACTCACATTAAAAACTCTTGGGTTAGGAGTGGGTCGTTGTCGAATAAGCTCGGCACTTCAAAACTGAGTTCAAAAAGTCTCGGGCTTGCTGGTCCTACGCTGAAAAGGAATGGGTAACTCAAATCAACCTTCGTTTTAGTGTCGGCAAGTGTCGAAAGGATGCCGAAAGGGTTGGGTATCATGGATTTGGCTTCGAACACCAGTGGGTATCAATAATCAAGCTTTGTACAAGGGTGGGTAAGCGTCGAAAAGATGTCGTCGGGAGCGGGTATCGCAAATTGACTTCATACAAGGGTGGGTATCGTGAATCGGGCTTCATTTGGTTATGGGTCAACACTGAAAGTCACCGGAACAAAGGAATCATCATGAATCGGGGCTGAGCATCACAAATTCAAGCTCGGGTCGCCGGATCTGAGCCAACACCGCGGCTGCGGTAGGGTGACCGCCATATCTGGCTTGTGGAGGCAGCGCCGCCGCTGCAGCGAGGTCGCGCACCACCTCCGACCGGGTCGGAATCAAACTGAAGTCGGAGCTCCCGCATGCAGACGCCGCCGTCGATGCCGTCATGGGGACTAGACCATTGAAACACCGCACGATTCATTCGCGAACTGCTGCCAAAGCATAGCGCCGCCGCTGGAACGACAACATATGAGGTTGAAGCCGCGCCGCCGCCGCCGCCGCTGTGTGCTGTCAAGTCGCCGCTGGTATCACCGGTTGCCGGAGGAGAAAAATCCAATGGGGGGGTGGCGGCTGGGGTTGAAGAAGAAGAAGAAGGAGAAAACTCCGTGGAGGCTAGGGCTTTCTATTTTAATTGTTGTTTTGTTTTCTTCCTTTTCCTTTTCTTTTACTAAAAACCAAAAAGGAAAATAATGATATTAACCAAAAACATTACTAATGTCTTTAAATAAAAGGGATTTTCCCTGATCCTTTTTTAGAAAGAAGACCTACTTTAAAGGATTTTGATAAATTAATTAAGAGATTAACTTAATTTAAAACTCAAAATAAAGTCCCAAAACGGAAAAATTAAATTTCCAAACATTGAATTAAGATTTAACTAAAAGTTCTTCCCAAAATTTGAAAATCATAATTAATTTAACTAACGGAAATAAACTTAAATTTTAATTTACCGAAAATTAGAACTTCAAATTAGAAAACTAATAATTTAATTTAACAGCTTAAAGGAAAATCCAAACGCTCAATTTAAAACTTAAAAAAAAAAAATAACCCGAAAACTCGGGACTGCATTACCTAGCTTCTGTTTATTATGTAGGTAACGGGAATAACTAGAACTTCAAGCCTTACTCAAACACGTATAATTTAGGGTGGAGACATGTTGGGACTTTCTTTACCTTTAAAAGATAAAAGACATGTGCAAACGTACACGGTCACAAGTAATACTTTGGAGTAATCCAAGGTTTAATCTTCAGGGACTTGTGCTTTCAAAATCAAGTAATGAAGTGAAATGGTTCAAGAATGCAATTGTGGTTTATGAACGAAATAATGAAAACCAGGGGCTTCAAATATCAAGCAATTTTGTAAAACACAACCTATCTGCTTCCTACCTTAGTTTTGATGGAAAATATGGAAGATACATACTTTAGGGAAATTACGCCAGCCACAATTTCGCTAAACTTGGGAATATGAGTTCTACTCCTTCCCGAACCGCTTTGGGGTGCTGTAGAGGCTAGGGTAACCTACAATCATATTTCTATGTGTGATTCAATACTAGAAAGTATTTATCAACTCATTTTCATTTATGGGTCAGATGACCTATGTCTAGGACCGTGTTTTATGCGCTTATGTATAAGTCACATCCCATGTTGGTTTCCTATTATTTTACCTATCACACCCTTCTCAGAGTTGGGCTTTAGTTCACAAATCAATTTCCCAGTGGCCAAATGGAAAAAAGACGTAAGATAATTTTTTAGAAACCAACTCAAGATTACACTAGGTGCAATCTGGCCAAATCCCGAGCATGTTCGAAATCAAATCATTTTGGCTAAAGCATTCCACAGAGAGGTTGATAAATAAATTAGGACATAATTAAAGGAAAGAAAATGCACAAAAACATAAAAGAAAGAATTTTCATTGAATTTAAATGAATAATAACGACGTACAAGGAGTTCTAGCTTAACCCCCTTCTCTCTCGAGTGTGAGGGGAGTGTAAACTCGTTTAAGAACTTTAAAAGAACAAAATATATGAAGAATGAAAGTACGAACTTGAATTAAAAGTAACACAATAAGTAAAAGTGTGAAAATGCAAGGAACAAACAACTAAGACATAACTCCAAAGCTTATTAACGAGAACTACAGCTAGGAATGAAACAAATGAAGATGAAAATGAGATTATTTGCTGCTGGGGGAGAGACTCCCTTATATAGGCCTTCAAAGAGGTTGGACTTCTCACCATTTTAGGAGGAAATGTGTTAAAGATTCTCCCAACAACCTCTCATTGACTTGGACTCACGACTTTTGCTTCATTTAAACACATTTGAAATGAATTTGTTGCCCTTCGTTAAGTGAAACGCACGTTTTGGAGGTGTTGACTTCCCAAATTGCCCTAGATGCAATTCGCAATTCCTGCAAAACAGAAAACTGTAATTTTCTTCCAACTTTGACCACGTTTTTCTCACATTTTCCCCAAAGTACCATACATTGCAAATTATCCAAAAATGTCCTATGTATGTTCTACTTTAATAATATGTAAACCTTTTTAGCTAATAATGATGGGAAATGGTTTGTTTTTATGGTCAAAGAGGCCTACCGAGTCATATTTCTACAGTAAAAAGTCAACCCTAACAGGATACCATCCCAACTTTTCATGGGGGGTCAAGGAAGTTCTAGTGGACCAAACTAAGGGTAGAACCAGCAGTACAAACAATTCTATGTTCTCTCTACTTTCACGAACAATCAATGGACGTAGCCACCTCTACCGTAGTAGTATAATTAGAATCGATCGGCTCCGACGCAATTGGCTTAAAATAACAATACTAGTTTTGAGAATATGATGAAGGAGTTCATGGCTAGAACCGATGCAGTGTTCCAGAAACAAAATTCTTCCATTTAAAGCCAAGCAACATCGATAAGAAACCTGGAGATGCAAATGGGACAGCTTGCTAATCAGATGAAGTCGAGATCACAAGGCTCATTTTCAGGACATACTGAAGTTCCAAAAGGAGAAGGAAAAGAGCAATGCAAGGCGGTGACTTTGAGAAGTAGACTAGTGCACAAAGGACCCAAGATGCCGAAATTGATGCATAGAAACCCTCCACATCAATCCAGATTGCCCCAAGTGAATAAGAGAAAGAAGAAACCACCTCAGGTGGTGGCGCCTCTCCTCAGGTAAGTTCGTCTTTTACCCTGATTCCTTCCTTTCCACAAAGAGCCAAGAAAAACCAAGAATCTCATTTTAGAAAGTTCTTAGACATCCTTAAGCAGTTACACATAAATATTCTTTTAGTAGATGCTTTAGAGAAAATGTCAAATTACACTAAGTTTCTAAAGGATATTGTATCTAGGAAGAAGAAGATAAGAGAACATCAGATGGTAGTTATGACCAAGTGTAGTAGGAAGGTCGTGGGTAACCCTTTGCACATTAAATGTAAATATCCTGACAGTTTCATCATTCCTTGTTCAATTGGAGGAAAGAACTTAAGTAAAGCTCTATGCGACTTAAGTCCTAGCATTAACCTGATGCACTTGTCTGTTTTCAAAGAATTGAGTATAAGAAAAGCTAGACCAACAACAGTTATTCTCCAATTAGCAGAAAGATCCATTAAGAAGCCTAAGGGAAAAAAAAAAGAAGATGTTCTAGTTCAGGTAGATAAATTTAATCTTCCTTGCAGACTTCATCATCTTAGATTGTGAGGCTGACTTGGACATACCTATCATTTTAAGGAGACCTTTCTTAGCTACTGGAGACACTATGTTTAATGTTCAGAAAGGAGAAATAACAATGAAGGTTAACAATGATGAAGTTAAATTCAACGTTTTGGATGCAATGAAGCTTCTAGGAGATTTAGAAGAATTTTCAGTCATCAATGCTTCTAACTATGCTTCATTTTGTGAGTTTTATGACCTATTAGTCGCAGGAATAGAAGAAGAGTTGGAGCCTATAGAAGTTGAATGCTGAGGAGTATCCGAAGAGTTGCACCTACCGATAGAGGATATGAAGGCAGAGAATGCAAGACGTTACAACCATTCATTGTGGAGCCACACACTTTGGAACAAAAACCTTTAATTTCTCACATAAAATATGCATATCTTGGAACTAATGAAACTTTGTCTGTTATTATTCTTCCTATTTGTCTAATGAAAATGAATTTTTGTTATTGTAGATTATGGCAAAGTACAAGAATGCGAGATTTGGTGGACTATTGCTAACATCCGAGGGATAAGCCCTACGTTCTATATACATAAGATTTTGTTGGAAGAAGGTGCTAGCAACTCAACTGAGAATCAAAGACGCCTAAACCCGAAGATGAAGGAAGTCGTTGGGAAAGATATCCTAAAATGGTTAGACACTGGAGTCATCTACCCCATTTCCGATAGTATTTTGGTGAGCCTAGTATAATGTGTACTAAATAAGGGTGGGATGACTGTGGTAGTAAACAAGAAGAATGAGCTTATATCAACCTGGACTATGAGCAGGTGGAGAGTTTGCATTGACTATCGTAAACTAAACAAGGTAACGAAAAAAGATCATTTTCTGCCTCCGTTTCTTGACCAAATGTTGGATCGTCTTGCAAGTAAGGAGTTTTACTACTTCCTAGATGGATATTGGGGATATAACAAGATTACTATCACTCTGGAGGACTAGGAGAAGACGACATTCACTTGTCCATACGTGACATTTGTTTTCCGGTGTATGCCTTTTGATTTGTGCAATGCACCAATGACATTTCAAAGGTGTATGACGGCCATCTCCTCGGATATGTACTTGTTTGCAAAAAGGATGCAAAATTACATTTGATAGTCTGAATTTTGCCACTTCAAGAGTTTGGCATTGAAATAAGGGATCGTAAAAGAACAGAAAATCAAATGGCTAACCACTTGTCTAGACTCGAGTCCCCACTTCACGAAGGTCAAGTAGAGATTCGAGAACAATTCATAGATGAACAACTTCTTTGTATCAAAGATATCCCTTAGTATGCCGATATTGCTAATTATCTAATAAGTCGTATTATTCCTCATGAATCCAGCCGGCAGCAGGTAAAAAATTTCCTTTATGATGTTAGATATTATAGTTGGGATGAGCCCTATTTGTACAAACTTGGTTCTGATGGGATCCTTATAGGTGTGTGACGGAAGAAGAGCAAAAAGCAATCCTAGAGACTTGTCATACGTCTCCATATGGAGGTCATGTTGTAGGCTAAAAAATCATGGTAAAGGTACTGCAAAGTGGGTTCTTCTGGCCTACTCTATTTCGAGATGCACATAGCTTCGCCCAGGTTTGTGATAAGTGCCAGAGGACAGGTAACATCTCTAAACTTAACGAGATGTCTCTAAAGCCCATTTTGGAAGTTGAGATTTTTTATGTATGGGGTATTGACTTCATAGGCTGAGATAATATTTTTAGAATGTTAGTTGGGTGAAATTTTTGGAAAATTTGAAAAAGATTTGTGAGAGCCACCTGGCACCTCGATCTTTTCGAAAATTTTTAAAAAATCGTGATTTTAACTCTCGGGTTAGTTTTGATTTAAAATTAAGGGGGTGTGGTAATTTTTCGTTTTAGATTAAATTTGAGTGTTTTAAGAGTTAATCTTTTGAGTTTTATTTTCAAAGATTATTGTTAGAATTGACTTTTTACTG